AATACACTCTTAAAAATAAAGGTGCTTCAAAAGGTTCTTCAAGCGATGCCATAGAAGAACCATTTTTGGTTCCACAAAGAACCATTCAGTCAAAGGTTCTTTAAAGAACCATCTCTTTCTTACCTTTTTATAATCTGAAGAACCTTCTTTCACCGCAATGAACCTTTTGTGAAACAGAAAGGTTCTTCAGATGTTAAAGGTTCTTTATGGAACCATTTAGACAAAAAGGTTCTTCTATGGCATCGTGAAGCACCTTTATTTTTAAGAGTGTACAAAAATATGAGGTATGCTGTTCATTATTAGGAACATCTATACATATCAGTGAAAAACTTTTTATATCCTTAAAGTTGCTGTCTTATTCAGATATGCATGTATGTAAACAAGTAGCCTACTGTACATTGCTGACAGCAAATGAAAGTAAGCTACTGATCCAGTACAGATGTACTGATCCATACATCTGGAGGTACTAGAATGAGATTCTGTACATGATCTTCATACTGTATAGAACAATTTTAAAACTGAAAAAAAGCCTTTGTTTGAACTTCATGAAATCATTTACAGAAAACATATTCCAAATATGACTAACAGCATCAAGCAGAATCAACATTCCATGAGTGAGAAACAGCCCACAGACATGCTGCTTTCTAAAGGTCAGTGGTGAGACGGCGACAAAGACTCTTTTTTTAATGTAGTCTCCCAAAAGACTGGAGAGTATATGCGATTACACTCCTCTGGGTGCTGTGCTGGAAAAGGCACAAAACACCTGGCGATTTAAAGGGGGATATCATTTTAAAGTGTACTCTACACATCACTTAAGATGAAAAGTTTCTTATAAACTCAAAATAAAACACTGCACACAATTGATAAAAGTGACATATCTGTACTTTTAACAATAAAAGCTATATGTTACACCGTTTTCAGGTTTACACAACCATTTCCTCACTATAAATTGTTAACTCTTAAAAGATTTTCTCAGTACTTGGACAGCTTGATTAGGATAGTGTTCTAAATTTAGTTGCCAAATGATTTGAATTTTTACTGACTTAATGGGGACATTAAGTCAGTAAAAATTCAAATGGCAATAAAATTAAGAACACTATTCTAATCTAGTCCATATTCTGTTTTTAATTCTGCAAACCCAATAAAAGACTCCCTGAGGTATAAAAGCCTTCAAGACTCTTGAAAGTACATCATTCAAATTCCTTAGTGTAAAAAAATTATGTTTCTTTAGTTTTACAAACTTGATGCATCTTAAAACATTTAAATCATGCACAAATCTCTACATGCATTCAACTGGGTTCTAATCTCACATTCCCACACACTGTTCTACTTAAAAGTATAATACTCTGGTTAACCACCACTGGCTTGTGATCAACCAGGGTATAGTTGCAGGTATAGTGTTTCGGTCCCACTGATACAGCACCGTGTTACTTTTCTGAAGTGGCCACTGGCCACTTGCCATTAGTCTCTTTTATTACGTTACAGTTTTTCTGAATTGCTAAAACACATTTCTTGAAACCATCACTCGTTTTCTCAAAACCTTAAACACAAATCTTCCATCAAATTCAAACAATCACTGCAAAACCATTTCACTTGCACTCACAACCAAACAGTGCTCTCAGATCACACACACATAAGTCAATAAAATAAACACTACAGAGCATTCATTAGACATTACAGAGAAAAATGGAGAACACAGCATCCAGAACATTACAGAAAAAAGTATATTGTATATCTGAGTAAACAATTTTGCAATTCTGTAAAAAAGTATAGTAATTGCAACTGAGTAAGGTGAATATATTGTACAGGCCTATACTGTACGTACTGCAAAAATAGTGCTGAATATTGAATAGTACTGAATGTTTGTATATATTCAGCACTTGGATACTGCAAAAATACTGCAGTCCAACTGCAAAGGCCAAAAAGGTCAAATAATACTCTAAATGAAAAGCATGTTACAGTACACTCAAATACTGTAAGTTGTGCAATCGTAAAATCAGGGTCAAGGAGAGATTCATTCTGTCTCAGCATCATGTCTTTGTGCTCGAGTCCGGCCTGAGGACTTTGTCCACATAACAAGTAATGGTGTCTTTTTTGCTAGACAAAGAGAAAAAACCCTCTGGTCTGACAGATCCAGCCTTGATAACACTCTCTAAACCTTACTCTTTCTCTCCTCAGCCTCCACTTCTTACATGTACTCTTCCTCCTCTCCTTCTAAGATTGTTTCCATCTATTGTTCGTATCATCATTCAGTCACCTGTGCCACTTGTGCACTCTGAACTGGCTCATATGTTGTACAGTTGGTTTGATCACATCATTAGAAACAAGTGTGAACAATTTTGAATCGTTGTGTGTAAACGACGAAAACTGTGCTTTAGTTGTGTTTAACTTTTGCCGCTTGTGTTTAGCATCTTGCAGCACAAATGCATCAGATGTGATAAGTGTTTAAAAGAATTAGAAACAAGTGTGAACAATTTTGAATCGTTGTGTGTAAACGACGAAAACTGTGCTTTAGTTGTGTTTAACTTTTGCCGCTTGTGTTTAGCATCTTGCAGCACAAATGCATCAGATGTGATAAGTGTTTAAAAGAAATGAGAATGTGTTTAGAGTTTTGCAAAAAGAGTGCATGAGATTTGTATATAGAGCCTAACTGCCTGAACGTGTTTAAGGTTTAGCAGAAAGTGTGCTTTATTCGACAAATTGGTTTAAGCTAGTAAGAATTTGGTTCAGAGATTGGGCTTTAGTCTTTTAGCAAATTGAGAAAAACTGTAATTGATCCTCAGTGCTACAACACAACTTCTCTCGTCATTTCAAATCCAGTATGCCCTCTGAGAGGGCGTCTATGGCTTTAGAGGCAGCTGAGGAGGAGCTTACTGGTCCCGAGTCCATGAACATGTGAGGGATCTCACTTCCAAAGTAAATCTTACTATTAGCTGCTATTGCTTTAAATTTCATCAGCTGGAGATATTCAGGGGTCAGCTTCAGCTTTGAGGAGAGGAGAGGAGAGAAAACATTTACTAAACAATGAGCACAGTAATGATGGGGTGCAGTTTTAGAAATGTACCTTATTGGCCTCTGCTGCTCTCTGTGCGGTGTAAAACTCTGCATCTGCTTTTGCTTTCTGCCTAGCAAGGAAAGCGCTGTCTATAAAATCAGTGAGACAAATGGGAAAGCAAAATGAACACAACAGAAACCACAGCAACATTCAGAGCTGTGCGATGAGGGATTGTTAATACCATTTAAATTCATCCTAAGCATCCCATTTCACTCTTATGATTATGAATATATTCAGGGGGTTTGCCGTTTAAACCTCAGCATCTGCTATCATGCCAATGATAATTTCAATCTGAAATGTTTGTTCATCTACATTTTCATTTATAATGAATTTATTCCACAAGTGAAAGTTTCCAATGACGGTGCAGTTACTGAGATAAGTAGTATCTAGTTTATGTGAGGTGATAAATGGAGTAGTGCTGCATTTACACAGTGTCATAATTACTGCAATGACAGCCGGGCACTTTCTAAGTGTGAGTGTCTATGGCAACCCTATAACTGCCTAAATTAATTGACATCATTTTAGTAATCAACAAACAAAACCACAATACAAACCAATTAAAAGTTGTTATGCAAATGCCTTATTAATAAACAAATCGTTTTTAATCTGGACATTTATGCAACTTTTGCTAGCTGCATTATGTATTGTAGGTCTTTTATTTATTTTCAGATTATTATGAAAATATTAACAATAGTCATTTATGGGAATTAGAAGACAGAATATTACAAAACAACTGCCTAACTACATTTTACAGCTTAAGTTGCTGCCATTTTGAGTGTTTCCATTGGTCAGGTGTCTCAGTATCTCAACATGTCGGCCCTCATGAGGCAAACAGCTTTTCTTAGGAGAGTGAAAAGACTGTGATCTCACATGATTTTTATTGTATTTTCCCAAAGTACTCTTTATTTCACTATATATAAATCCATTTAACGTGGGGAAAATGACTGAGAAATTATTGTGCTGGGCTACTGCCAGATTTGTCACTACTTTTACCAGCAGCAAAAACTCCAGAACAGCAGATATCCAAGTATGAGACAGTACAATAAACTTTTATAAAAATATTCCAAAGCATGATTAGAAGAAAAAGTCTGTGCATCTGCCTCTTCGAAACCATCTTATGCATATACATTGAGTAAAGATGTTATTTGTTTTTGTACTCAATGTTTATATTCACATTAGTTCTGAAATACTCATAGACTGCCCATACCAATGTCTTGACTAATATTCACATTAAACAAAACACTGTGGCTTTTAGTATGCATAATCCAGTCTGTTGGCTCAGAAATGTCCCCATTTTTCTGTAAGAAGGAAAAGAAACCCAGCCTTGGAAAAACATTAAGAAAACTGCTTGGCATAAAACACAAGGGCCATGTTTTTACTGAAACAGTCCATTCCTTCCAACTGAACTTCTACCAGATTTTGGAACAATTTTGTGTACAGTAAATGACACATAATGAATTGATATATACATGTTACATAATGCAGTTTGCAACTAGGCCTGTTGCAATAATCAATATATCGACTTATCGCGCAATATATGTACATGACCTCAATCATTTTTGGTGATGCAATATATCGCCCATTATATTTACTCAAAAATTAATGTCACCATGTTTTGTACATTCCACTTGCGCCTGTGTCTTTTGCAGCTTCTCATACATAATGTGGTGTAGTCATGAGGTGCTAGTTCAAATTTAAATAATGCTTCTACCTTGTTTAGGGATCTGTGCCTTTGCGCATACGGACATCTGACTGCTAAGTAGTAATTGTGTTTCTCAGCAATAGTGTGCACCCTTAATTTACAGAGAAAAGAAGGTCAGGGAAACATCTGTAAATGGAAAAATCTCCATACAAGTTCTTTGTGCATTTTTCTTTTTTTTCTACTTGTTACTTTGCACTTTTTGTTAGAAACTTTTTATTTACTATTTATTCAGGTATCTTATATTTTGATACTTAATTTCCATGATCTAAATATTCTTAAAAATTAAAAGTTTGTTGTCATTTGGAAGTGTGTAGGCTGTTATGCTGTTACATTATGATTATATATTCAGTGGCATAAAATGGTCTTAAAAATGACAATAATATCGCTTATCGCAATTATTTCTAGGGGCAATATATCGCACGACAAAATGTTGTTATCGTGACAGGCCTATTTGCAACAAAGTTTGTATCTCCCAATGGACACACTGGCTTGTTTTGTAGATGTCCTGCACTATGATAATGACCTGCTTTGAATGGAATCACGTCTCATCCATTTGTCTTGGGCATTTACATTTGTAGTTTTGTTTTTTTATTTTCAACTATTTTTATATGAACTCCTAGACTATTGGTGAAAGTTTTGAATAATGTTCTTCAAAAATGATTTGCATGCTGGCTTGGTAGACAGTTGTTGCTAATTATTTGAATAATGACCAACATGAACTTGAACTTAAAAGCATGATTTGACACATTATCTGAAAACCTGGCCTGTTTTGCAAAAAATATTGTCCTTGCCGAATGATCATCTTAAGAGTTCATGTTTAAAACTGAAGAAAAATATACACTGCCGTTCAAAAGTGGTCGGTAAGATTTGAATGTTTTTAAACAGGTCTATTATGCTCACCAAGGCTGCATGTATTTGATCAAAACAATAGAAAAACAGTGACATTGAGAAATATTATTACAATTTAAAATAAATGTTTTCTGTTTAATATATTTCAAAATGTAATTTGTTCCTGTGATGGGAAAGCTAAATTGTCAGCAGTCATTAGTATTAGAAATATAGTATCAGAAATATAGTATCAGAAATAATATGCTGATTTGGTGCTAAAGAAACATTTCTTATTATTATCAATGTTGAGAATGAATGAAGAGAGCAACTATGCATTTTGCCGCCTTCTCCTGCGCCGTCGTTACTAAGCAAAGGGGTAAACAGCTGCTGGATTGATGACGTAAACAATACAATACAATACAATACAATGTTTATTTATATAGCACATTTAAAACAACCGAAGTCGACCAAAGTGCTACACAGAGTATGCAAAACAAAACAAGTCAACAAGTTAATAAACAATAAGACACAAACTATAAAACACACACTGTAAAATGGATGAGGTTCACTAAAATAAAGGATCATTAAATAAACAAACGGCTCCGACCGGAAACAAACAATGAAATTTATTTTCTACCTATTAGATTGTGTTTTATTAACGTCTACACCTACCCCAAACCTAAACCTACCCCTTACAATAATGAAAAAATAGTAATTATTGTTGTACAGTGTGACAAAAATGACACTGTATTGATGTGCGCATGCCCAGTAGCCGCAGCTGTATCCCTTTCTAGCCTTGGCCCTGCGTTGTACAGTGTGACAAAAATTACACTGTATTGATGTGCGCATGCCCAGTAGCCGCAGCTGTATCCCTTTCTAGCCTTGGCCCTGCAGTTCAGACTCAAATAAAATAATATGAACACAGTCCAGCGGGGGCAGGGGTCAGGGGGAGCAATCGAACTCGGGTTCGGATCAGGCAAGCGAACCAATTGTGAAAGCACCCTAAAAAAATCTACTGGACCCAAACTTTTGAATGGTACTGAATATGCCTTTTTGTATGAGCTTATATTTTATTTATGAACCAGGTACTGTATATAATGCTATGAAGTGCTTTCTGCAAACATTTACTGTTCATTTTGACAATAATTTTATACTTTGATAAATTCAAGGCCCAAATACCCCCTATGTTTAATCAAGGCTGTTTTTATTTTCCTACACTGGAGTCTAGGACTTCAGAGGGCACATGAAAACACATTCACCTACCTTCAATTTCTGAGATCTTTTTCTCTGTTTCTTTTTCCATAACTTTCTGTCCAAATTTTATTTCAGCCACCTGAGCCACCTTCTCTGCCTCTGCACTTATAAAAAAAAAAAAAAAAAATTTTTTTATATGAACTGCAACTTCATTAAAATCCAACCCACAAGACCAAACCAGCTCATCTGGCTGAATACTAAGAAAAATATCTTCACCGATGACAGCCTTTTTCCTCTCGGTCTCTGCCTCCTTCTCTACAACCTTCTGAGTCTGAGCTGCAATCAGTAACTTCGTTCTCTCACTCTCCCTAAAAGAGAGAAAGACACACACACACACACATACAAACACACACGCACGCACACACACACACACACAAAAAGAGTAAGGACAGATTATTTTTCAATTAAGTTCAACTGATAAGGATTGGCATAATTTTCTCACATAACACCAAAATACAGTTCTGTCATGACAACTCCTGGAGGGATTGGCATGGTAATGTACATGACAAGGTTAATGTATTTGGTCTTGGCGGAATAGATCTGCTACGCTGCTGCTGCTGCTGCGGCAGAGCAAGTACCGAGACTTGCTACTGCCAATACATCCACAACATTCTACTGTAAGCATGTAAGAAATACTGCTGCTGCACATATAACACATATGAATAACCCCCATATAGCATACATGAATCACTACGTAGCAGATCTATACAGGTGGAGCTGAGGAAGGTAGAGGGTTTCTGAAGTGCGCTGCCAACTGCTACAGCAAACAAATGCCAGGTATTTGAATATTGAGCAGCGAGCTCATTGGCTACCGATACAGGAGAGAACCAATCAGATGCCATGTGACAATGATGTCACCAGGTCAGATTGAGCTAGACCTATCGGACTGCGCCACCTAGAGTTTCATGCCAGAACTCTGTATTTGTACACTTCAGAAATAGAATGACAGTGTAAGCTCTAACCAGGGTCCAAAATTAAGACGCACCATGAACCATATGCGAGTACAATGCTACTTGCCAGTTGGCTGGTATCTTCATTAGGAACTGCAACATAATACATTTAGTCTAGCTAATGGAAGTGGCAAGTGATTAAAACACAAAAATACACAAATGCAGAAAATACAAACTTCTGTTTTCTATGATATCGTTAACCACATTTAACCTCATTGTTAACTATTGTTATCCAATTATTTGGACAAATATGTGTAATATTCCTCAAAGTTAATTACCAAAACAAAAATAAAGGGGGGAAAAAATGGCCATGAGCCATGGGACGGGCTCATTTTATGTAGTACATAATATGCAAGATTATGCAATAAAATAATTATTTGTCATAGAGACAAAATATGTAAACCATGGCCAATAAGAAACATTTATTACCCAGTCCACTGATTGCTTGGAGCTCACGCCTTCTTTCTTTGCGTGCACATCTGGGCGGCATTATACTAATATTTTCCACGGCAATATACTAATATTTCCACATAGTAATGTAGATATGTGGGGGCGTGTTAGAATGAGCCGTTTTAGGAGGGTGTGGTTGACTCTTAACTTTTATAAAGAATATCTCTTTGGATTTGAGACTTTAGTCTTTGCAACTTTACAGATCTTCTTTATGCACCAAGAGCTTGTAACACTCCAAAGAGAAAGGAAAACTTGAAATCGCATCATATGACCCCTTTAAGACCTTTTTTAAGACTCTTTGCATACATTTTAAGACCTCATCGCCACTGCAAGTTTTAACCGGTTACATCTGCGACACTTTAACTTACATTCACTAAATACTGTTTGTAAGATAGCACAACTAAACAGTCGTACTTTGTGATAACTCCTTATCAATGCAACATAATTCAGAAGGGGGGAACGAAGCACAAGATAATTAATTGAGTGACTAACCAATGCAACCCAAGAAACAAGAATTAGACCAATAAACAAAACAACTGATAAAACATATTGAGGAGGGAAAATAAAGGTCTCCGAGCTAACAGGGCAATGAGGTCACACAGTATATTCAAAGATGTATTTGTCACATCAACTCTTATGTCTGAAAACCATAGCTGTTTTGTTGAACACTTCTCAAGGCAAACACCTGACTGATCAGACAGTTTACCTGTGATTACGGAGTGCTTGAGTTGATGCAGACTTGACAGAGTGTCAGTACTGCACCTGATCGTGTCTGAATGATCATGGAAGGTAAAATAATGATCACAACTATTACATCAATTTTAATTGTGCATCCCAAGCCCATGCTGGTAAAAAAAAAAAAAACAGCCCAAAGTAGCACAATTATGTCCCAAATATAAAAATGTAATTTCAATCCCTAGAATACATATTTTACAGTCAATGTTATGCACATTTATCATAAACACAGCTCAAATGCTTCCTACTAGTGTGGCCCAAAACATTTAGCACAGTTTTATTACAGGTGGAATGCAGAATGTTTCAGTACAAGCATTTCAACCAAATGTAATTTATGCAATATTTCAAACCTTTAAACAACTGGGTAAAATCAACCCATGGCAACATTTTAAAAGCAGCCCAATTTTGTGGAAAACAACAACAACAACCCTGCATCCAACTCAAGCTGCAGAAGTCAGATTTGACTGATCACGGGTAAAAAGTAAGTAGAGATAACTGACAAAGATGTTGGAGGACACAAAAATCGCGGGAGCGGATGGGAGCATGCGGTAATGGTCAGAAATTCAGCGAGAGCGGGATCAACAAGCCCTGTGCTATCACACAGTCGTGCAGTCAGTCAGTGAGCGCCGTAACAGATGACGTCAAATCTTGCTGGATTCCATAAATAAACTACACAAAACACCACTATTCGGACAAATATTCCTAATGAAAAGATGACCCTGGAAAATGGCATTTAAGACTTTTTAATACTTATTAAGGGCCTTAATTTGATCTAAATTGATTTATCAATGGATATCAACAATGGAAATGTACTGCCTGAGCAGATGATTATGGGGAAGGCTGTTTTATGATTATGGGGAAGTCTTTGCTTGAATCTGTGAAAACTTGGTCCATCATCAAAGGGATTTGGTTGAAGGAAATCTGCCAAACCAAAGCTAAATAAAGAAAGACAAACACATGCACAAATACACAAAGAGCTTATATGCCGCATCGTATCTTAGGTCTAATGGTTTCCTGAATTTGAAAGAATTGTTAACGTATAAACCATGCAGAAAACAGAATGCTGACAAGAATGTAACTCTAATGGTTTCCTGAATTTGAAAGAATTGTTAACGTATAAACCATGCAGAAAACAGAATGCTGACAAGAATGTAACTCTAATGGTTTCCTGAATTTGAAAGAATTGTTAACGTATAAACCATGCAGAAAACAGAATGCTGACAAGAATGTAACTCAGTGGAATGGAACAGAAAACAGAATGAATTGCCAAACCAATCTGAGTCCCACCTGAATGATGAGTCCGGGAGCCATGCTGGTTAGATCCTGCTGCAGCGTGAGCTTAAGATTCTCGTCTATTTGATCTAAGAAACAACAGGCCACTTAAAGAACGACAGGTGTACAAAGAAATGACACACCTAAATTTTTGCTTTCTCATCACACAACATCAACTGCAAATAAAAAGCACTTGAGAAGCTTATGCCACTAACAACATGTCAAGCATATCCACATTACCACTAGAGGGCTTTGACTATTGACTACCCTCACACCATTGTGAAGTGCATTCATGGATGAAATCTAATGCTATTATGGTCACACTCTCGAAATGTATTTCTACAAATTCAAATTAATTACTAAAAATAGTTATTTGAAGGAGTTATTTTCTGATTCCTTAACTTTCCTAGTTAAGTCATTGTCTTTACATTTTTAGCAGGGACAAATATGCATAAAATGATTAAAATATTAAAGCCCATCACTTACCGAATAGACCTATGTAGACCTCCTGAAGTGTGTGCACACTACAGAACTGATTCAGCTCATGGTGTACCTTGTTGAAAATCAGAGCTTTGTCGTAATCGGCAGTGAAGTTTCTCACAATGCCATAAACTGTAGCAGAGTAGACAATGATGTTAAGAGAGAGATGAATAGGGCACATAAAATAAATGGCATTCATAGTCTGGGTCGCTGCTAAAATTCATGGGGAGCGGGATAAAACATTTATTGGAGAGTAGGCTATGCCAAAGAGGCTCTTAGTGGGCCCTCCCACATTACAGGGCCCAGGGAAATGTTCCCAGCTGTTCATCCCTAACAACAGCCTTTTTAGTGGTTCTACATTATAAATGAGAAAATAGTAATTTTACCTGCTGAGGGAACAAGATAGTTTACCACCTCAATGCAATCAAAGTAGATCATTACACCTCCACTGCAAATCAAAAAACATGTTGATATATATGAATGAGTGTGAAAATCTACTCAGAAAGCAAAAGCGATAAAGGAAATCTCGCACAGGGTCACTCTAAAAACAGCATGTGTCTGAGATGATCTGTAATACAAGACTGACAATCTGTTTTATGAACAGAATGTATGAATGTATCGTAGTTTGCACTCAAAAAAAAAGAAAATATTCTTGAACAACTTCAATTTCAATAATATTTCACAATATTACTATTTGTACTGTAATGTTGATCAAATAAATGCAGCCTTGGTAAGAGACTTCTTTCAAAAACATCAAAAATCTTACTGAACCCAAACTTCTGAACAGTAGTGTACACAAATGATAACACATTTACCCACATTAAGTACACATAACCATCAAATATTATCATTTCATTGTTTACAACTGTTTACAGCAACAATCTGTAAAACTCTGGGATTTATTTTTAACCAGTTTTTCTGGACCTTTGCCCGTTTTGTTTTTATAGATCAGTAGAGAGATGAGAGGAAATAAGAAGGAAAGGAGGAGGGAACAGAATTGTGAAATGTTTTCAGCCAGCTTTATATGTCTTAGCCTAACCTCTATAGTAGATCAATTCTAGATAAAACTCTCAAGTGTCTGCTCATAAATTATGTTCTAACACAAAGTTGCAAACTTCAGTCTAGGATTCTCCTGAACTGCTGACCTGCTGTGTGTACAGGCTTTAAACATTGCAACAACAAAAAAACATATATATGATGTTGGCTAGACATAAATGCAGGTAAGAGTTCACCAAACTTGAATTTGGTATGCAGCAATAGAAGAAACCGAATGCCTACGCTAATGTGGCTCTCACCCTAATTTTGCATGCATATGAATGGAACAAAAAGTCTATTGTGACTGCACTTTATAGAAGATATGATATGAACAATTTACCTCACCTTGTGCCGCATGGAACATTCTTTACTTCATCTGTTTGTAGTGTTGTCTTTACAAAAAGAGAAAGGATGCAATAAGAAAAAGAAAACTATGAAGTTAAACTATAGATATAAAGTCTGTCATTTACCTGTACGGACTTGAATGTAGTAATGAACGGCAGCATCAGATGAAAGCCAGGGCCACTGGTGGTGGTCAGCAGAGCTCCACCTCTAAAAGAAGAGAAGCACACATCTATAGTACAAAGTAGCATGCACTGCTGCATCTGCTTGGTTCTGGAAGCAGATTATTGAAAAATTTTAAGCAACTGACCTGTAGTAAACACCCACATGTCCTTCTTCAATCTTATGAAGAGCAGAAAACACTGCGGCTCCTCCTATGGCGAGGATCACAGAGGCAACTGCTCCCAATGTCATTCTGAACACAAAAGAAATATGTTAACCAAAACATGTTAACCTATTAAGTATTAACCCCACCCTCAAGCCACCCGAGATGTAGGCTAGATGAGTTTGTTTCTTCATCTGAACAGATTTGGAGAAATTAAGCATGACGCTACTTACTCAACACTGGATCCTCCTCTGCAGTGAATGGGTGCCGTCAGAATAAGAGTCCAAACGGCAACTAAAAAGCAAATATAAAACACTACAATAATCCACAAGTAATCCACACAACTCCAGTCCATCAATTAACATCTTGTGAAGAAAAAAGTTGCATGTTTGTAATAGATCATTCACCTTTAAGAAGACATTTTAACCTCAAACCATTGCTTTCGGCTAAAATACGAGTTCTCTCTCCATAACATTACTTTCTCCAGTTAAAAAGTTGTCTTGAAAGTAAAACGCCTTATCGATGGATTTATTTCTTACAAACACACAGCTTTTCACTTCACAAGATGTTAATTAATGTACTGGAGTCGTGTGGTTAATTGTGATGTTTTTACCAACTGTTTGAAACTCTCATTCTTGCGGCACCCATTCACTGCAGAGGATCCATTGGTGAGAAAGTGATGTAATGCTATATCTCTCCAAATCTGTAATGATGAAAAAGGCCTGAGGGCGTGTCATTTTTCAGCAAATTTTCATTTTTAAGTGAACTAATCCTTACATCGCCATGCGTTCAAATGTAAAAATGTAACATGTAAAGTAACTTTTCTGATTTATTGTTCACTTATTTCCCATTTACATAACTTGCCATTCTTCCTCAAGTGGGAAACATGTTGTGTTCTACTAATTATTAACCATTCTTAATACATGTAATGTTTTATTGTAGTCTGCTGAACTAATCAAGACAACCTAAAGTGCTTGCTGGTCCAGCCTGGTCAATATCTGTTGTGGCCGATTAGAACGATTATTTATTTGTGTTTTGTGTGTGTGTTTTATGGTTAACAGCTAAACAACATTATTAGTGTGAACCCCATGGTAAAGTACAGTCATTAGCGTTCATGACAGACTGAGAGAGCATGTGGAACACTGACATTGATGTGACTTTGCTGCTAAGAGGATTGAGAAAACCAAGCACAAAGACCTGCAAGCAACTGTCCATTTTATTGACTGTGTGTATTATTTAAAAATATCACAAACGAAAACCTCAGTTTTGTGAACCAGCACTACAGGGTGCAAAGCCCGGGTTTTAGAGACAGAATAACAAACAGCAACTTTGACTTAAGACACTATTCTTCGTTAAATGCATGACTTAAGTGACCAGAAGTTGCCGCCGGATGTGGGTTTTCTCTTCGCGTCACACAAACTAATCGATCCAGTTCTGTAAATTAGTTAACGTACGTTATGTCAAAATAACAAACATTCTCCCTGCAATCTTACCCATAGAAAACATGACTAGCTAGCTTAAAGATGTGTATACAGACAAAAGACATTAAGATAGCCTGTCCACGCCAGATTGCAACACGGGAAAATTACTTTGTGGATGAATGCGAACAAATAGAGATGTTACCTAAGTACGTACTGTAACTCCTTGCAGATGACCGGTAGAGACACCTGCGATCGATGAGGGAAAAACAGCGACGCTCTTTTGCGTCTGACGTCAGTGCAGTTTAACCCACTTCCCCGCTGCTGTTAGAGCATCACACCGTTAGATGGCGACACATGTCTTCCTATAAAAACAGGATTGGCGCTGACCCTGATTTTTTGCCTCAGTGTTATTTTATTAAACTTTTGTAGAATTTATTATAGCTATTTTGAATTTTTAGTTCATCTTTAGTTTTATTAATTCTAGTTCTTGAGCGTAAACGTTTTTTATTATCTACATTTTTACGTTTATTGTTTCCTATAATATTTACATTTTATTTCAGCTTTTTTCAGTTATCAGAAATGATATTTAAAAGTTTTAGTTAAAAATAACAACACTGTTTTGCCTGTAAAAGTAATTACAGTAGATAATTACAGTAATACGAAGCCACCAAGGAGGGCTACAACAGGCCTTAGGCAACAACATAATTTTTTCAGTTTCCTTTAAGTGCTGCTGGTCTAAGAAACATCTTGGTGGGAAGCAGAACTACATCTGTAGTTGGTCACCAGGCATTCCAACGATTTCTGTTCATCAACTGATGTTAAATGTGGACACAACCAAACAATACAGATTTTATTTTTCAATGTGAACAGTTGGATTATATATTTATCATTTCTTTATATTATGAATTACATAACTAGAGTACAAACATTTACACAGAACAAACATTTGTGAAAATGAAACTTAAAATAGAAACTTCTTGTATTCTCTACAGATAACGGATGCTTCATGCCATGTGCCTTAAGTTTCGCTTATTTGTTTTTGAGGTTCAGTGGGATGGCGGTGGTTGTAGAAGATGACCATAGATGCTCATCTGGTGGCATCTCATTTCGAGTATTTCTTAAAGATGGAGATATACTCCTGTACATCATCAGGGGAGCCCAGCACTACAGGAACCCTCTGGTGGATTGAGTCAGGTTTGATGTCTAGAACATTCACGGCTCCTGTTGTTGCCATACCGCCGGCTTGCTCCATGATGAAGGCCATGGGGTTGCACTCATACAACAGCCTCAACTGGAGCCCAGAAAGAAACATGAAACCAGTGAGACTGTTGCCATAAATACACTTTAAAATCACCTTTAAACTCTGTTTCTCCTCACCTTGCCCTTGGGGCTCTTGATATTAGCAGGATACAGGAAAATTCCACCATACACCAGAGTCCTGTGCACATCAGCTACCATTGAGCCCACATAGCGCCCTCCATAGGGTGAACTGCCATCCTGCAGGTCAGAGTGGGAATATTATATTTACTCTCAGTGGAAAAGGCTAATTATCATGGCTAAAACTATTCACTGAGCTGAATTTGACAGATTTTTTCTATAATGTTCTACTGCACATTTAGAAGAGAGATATTATTTAATTAAGTCAAAATTGTACTTAAGTCAAAATAATGTAACCATACTTGAGTAAAAGTAAAAATGTTTTTTACATTTAACTTTAACTGAGTACTTTTCACCCCAGAAATAATGTTACAAAAACTAACTATGCTACCGTTCAAACGTTTGAGGTCAATACATTTTTTTTAAAGAAATTAATACTTTTAAATTGATTGAAATTGACAATAAAGACATGTTAAAGAAGATTTATATTTCAAACAAATGCTGTTCTTTTGAACTTTCAGTTTATCAGAGAATGTATCACAGTTTACACAGAAATATTAAGCAGCACAACTGTTTTCAAAATTTGATGATTATAAAAATGTTTCTTGAGCAGCAAATCGGCATATTAGAATGAGTTTTGTAGGATTATGTGACACTGAAGATTTCAGTAAAGGCTGCTGAAAAATTCAGCTTTGCCATCATAGGAATAATTTAGAATTTCAAATATATTAAAAAAGAACCAGCATTTTTACGTTGTAATAATATTTCACTATTTTTAAGTTGTAATAACATTTCACAATATTACTGTTTCTACTGTATTTTTTTTGGCAAAATAAATGCAGCCTTGGTGAGCATGAGAGACTTCTTTAAAAAACATAAAAAATCTTACTGTTCAGAAACTAACTGCCATCCTGCAGGTCAGAGTGGGAATATTATATTTACTCTCAGTGGAAAAGGCTAATTATCATGGCTAAAACTATTCACAGAGCTGAATTTGACAGATTTTTTCTATAATGTTCTACTGCACATTTAGAAGAGAGATATTATTTCATTAAGTCAAAATTGTACTTAAGTGTTTCAACAAGGTGGACACAGTTCTGTTCATAACAGTAGGCCTGCTGGTGAAGAAGTGAAAGGCAAGAAAAAAAGGGGAGACTTTTGATATTGGGGAAAATGACAAAAAGGGAAAGGGAAGTGAAGGTGCAGTGCAAGAGAGAACCTTTAATTATTTTCCACAGCCCCAGACTAAGGAATTAGAACTTTTTTTATGTGATTGCCATACAAATAATATGGTTGTCTGGTTTCAGAAATTGTTGTGGATGTATAGGCTATATACAGGAAATAAGGGGTCAAAATTGCACCTTTTTGGGTACAACAGCTTGTCACTGGAACAGGACCCTTAAAAGGACATATTTGTTCCTTTTTTTTTACCCCTAAGTCAAGTCAAGTCAAGTCAAGTCTGCTTTATTGTCAATTCTTCCACATGTACAGCACATACCCACAGAGAATTGAAATTGCGTTACTCTCAGACCCTTGGTGCATACAGATAACATAAATACAGATTAAATACAAAATACAAAATACAACTATACAAATAAGGTAAAATGTAAAAATATATATATAAAGCACAAGGCATATGGCAGATAGAGTGCAAACCAGTAAAGTAAACAACAGTGCAGATATAATGATTGTAGTGCAGAAAAATGATTTGTAGTGCAAATCTAGCAAAAGACACTTGCGTCGTGCCTGGCGCCGCATTGCGCCGGGTGTATGATAGGGCCCTTATTGTTAAGATCTGACTCTACCATGATAGTAATGGTTATTAAACAGATAGAAGGATGTTTTTCTAGCTCAGACCCTTTTGTGACATATTCTCAAAATCTGGAGCCTCTTACCTCTGGGAATTTCTTCTTTTTCAGATATTCTGTCACATCTGGGTAAAAATGTGCTGCGTAGCCTTCATTCAGACTGTAGATCTTTCCCTTCTTCTTAATCTTCACATCCCGGTCTACAAGTATAAACTCACCAATGGCCTAATGATGGATGAGGAAAGAATGCAGAAAGATGAAGAGGTAATTCAACTATTTAAAGTTAAATAGGATATGAGGTACAGTATGTAACATAATTCTGACTTACAGGATCAAGCATGAAGCAGTTGACACCCTGGCCTGTGGAGAGAACCAGCATGGTAGCACTGCCATAAAGAGCATACCCTGCTGCCACAATGTCTCTGCCACTCCGCAAGGCATCCTTCTCTGAGGGTTCATCAACAGTTTCCTGGAGATCATGTGCACAAACAAACAAACAAAAGCATTTCATTAGTCTTTAGATGACTGTAAAGAGATATGTTTGTACTGCAAATGATATGAAAGCCTGTACTGTACCTTTCTGTAGACTGCAAAAATGGTTCCAATAGAAGCTAAGCAGTCAATGTTTGAAGAGCCATCCAGAGGGTCAAAGCAAACCACGTATTTTCCCTGGGCAAAAAAAACAACAAAGTACAGAGTCAGGTAGTTTATTGGCCTGTACAGAAATACATCATTACAACATAATTTTACATCATTTACTTTTACTTTAATTAATCAAGGGATTTTTTCAGGTTAAAACAACAACAAAACCAATGATGCACACTTACCCTTTTCTCTGGTTCAATAATGATGGCGTGATCGTTTTCTTCAGACACCAAAACACAGGATGTGAAGGAGGATTTAATCATGTTTATAACAAGATCATTAGACAGGACATCCAACTTTTTCACCTGATCACCTGTAACATTTGTGCTCCCGGCAATTCCATAGCTGAGAAAAAGTAAAAGATAGAATTCTGAACTTATTCATGGCGAATTATGTGGTCTGTATGCTTTCTTCACAGTGCTGATAACTTAGGAAAGAGATGACCTTTGCCCCCTATTTCAACAAGAGACAAGGGCTAATCATTGCCTCAGTCTGCAGTGTTTGTTTGCAAAGTAGCTGAAATGAGCAGACGCAACAACAGTACATGGCATATAGTAAATATATATGCACTAAATAACTATTCAGAATTCTTAATGGTCCAACTCTGATCTTTGCTGGTTTTCAGGGCTAAAATAATGATAGCCTACAATATAGTACAATAATAAACTTAATGATGATGATGATGATAGTTCAAAATGATTAAAATAATATTTTACTATAAATAATCAAAAGCAGGAGAAAGAAGACAAAGATTTATCACAGCTCTTGATTAATACTTTAAGTTGTTCACAGCTCCAAAAAAGACAACGTACAAGCTATTTCTTTTTTTGTTTTGTTTTGTTTATCTACAAAATAAATATACCTGTTTTTGTTACTGTATACAGTAATACTGTATACAGTAACAATTAAACAAAAAAAACAGGATTCAGATTCAGTCTCCGTTTCGTTGTCGTAATGTTTGTCTCTTAAAACTGCCCCTGTACCTTTAAGAGAGTTTTACAGTACTTCCGGGTTAGAGAGTGCGGACAAATCCAAAACATTTGCGAGTAACGCGTCGCATAGGTGAAACCGCAACCTGCCACTGGTGCTGGGGTATTTTGATTTCTATTATAAATCAGATTTGGCTTTTTCAAACCCATAGTTTTAATTTAGCCTGCGTGTTCAGCCGCACGCGCAAACGTAAAGATTCTTTAGAAAATGACAGCACAGAAAGTGCTTTATTGACCGCCGTCTTCAGTTTGTTATTTCACACAATATGAATGTGGCCTGTGCAGTAAATCGCATTGGACTGTAAAATAGCCATGTGTTACTTCAGAGCTTCACCAGCTTACGCCTGTTATTGACCTCAAGTTGACTATTTTACAAGTGTACTTGACCTTTTTGCAGTTACAGGTTCAATATGAGACGACTGAACCTAGAAATTTACAATTGAACTAAGTTAAGCCATTATAAATGCAAAAACAATAATGCATGATGCGTTTGTTTCAGTACAGACAACAACCTTAGTGTGTTAAAAGATTTATTTATTAACATATTATTTAAAAAGACAAAAACAAACCTCTGTCTGTTCCCCATGTTTATCTTCTTTGATTCCAATGGAAAATATAGTGATACAGTATAGTCTTATGCATTTGATTTCAATCAAAGATTAATTGTTTTGTCAGTGCTTTTGCATGGAAAGAAACAGTGTAGTATTAAATGAATATAAAACAGTA